CCCGGGCGCGGCCAGTGCTGCACCTCGCGCGCCCGGGCGCGGCCGGTTCTGTTGCTCGCGCCCCCGTGCGTGGTCGTGGCCGCTGCAGCTGCTCGCGCTCTTGCGTGGCTGCTCGCGCCTCCGTGCCTGGCCGAGGCCACCGCCGCCGCCCGCACCCCCATGCCTGGCCATGGCTGCTGCTGCTGACGTGTTGAAGCATAGAGGAAGGAGGTGGAGGAAGATCACAGAGGCGGAGACTCGCGAGCCAGCCGGTGGCTGAATCCGGTGGTGCGCCGGTCAGATGCGGACGTGCTATTTTCTCTTTCCTGCCAGCGCCGGTGGAGAAGAAACAAGTGTAGAGGCTGACGTGTGGGTCTCTTGTGCAGCTTATGGTACAAAACAAACACCGTGAGATTTCGCTACCACGTCATCACTTACAGTGGGCCCCATCTGTCAGAAATGTTGTTAACATGTGTCTAGTAACCTATCAGTGTTTTTTGAAAAATGCCAGCACGATGGTGGTGGGTTTTTGAAAAAAAATCGAATGATGGTGATTTTTTGAATTAGGGTCCCCAATTGTGGTGGTTTTTTTTGCAGTTTACTCGTTGTATTGCCATGATTGAAAATGAATAGATTGAAAGTTTTCTCGCAAAATAAATTATGATGAACATGGATTTTTCACTGACATTTTTGCTGATTTATGTATTTCCATGCGCATTCTAACGGAACGTGATTATTATTGTGCATGGCAGGGATCTACTTGGACAAACCTAGGTGTTTTGGTACCAATGACAAGGTAGAGTAAACAAGCTTCAACACCCAAATGTATTCAAATGTTTTTTGATCTGGAACACCTAGCATTCCAATTACGATGGACCGACCAAATCGGGCGATCACAACACGGTTAGGTTACCGTATGCCAGACAACTTGGCCATTCGGAAGACCCCAGTAATCATGGGAGGCTAGCACATGCGCTGCCTTGTTTACAGTCTATGTGACAGAAATTTGTGGGCTTAGCTGGAATTTTGCTTCACGAAATAGCACACTAAGGGGACCGCGTACGATCTACATAAGTAGAGGACATTGCTTGCTGCAAGACCAAGCAGTCAGTTTCAAAGATGGCATGTCCCATCCAGCTTCTAACCGTGCTTCAGCTTTTGCTTGCATCGCAGAACCCTGGTAGCGGTGGCTGACGGCTAGGCGACGCAGCGGCACAAGCTGGGATTGAAGCTGCGGGGGAGGTGGTTGCAGCTCGTCTTATGTCAAGACTCAGCAGGCGAGACGGAGGGACACAAGTAGACGGCGGGCGCGAGAATATGGACATTGGAGGCCCGATAGGGCATGCGGTTTTGCAGGAACTAAGAGTTGAGATTAACCGGGGGATTTGGGGAATGAGGGGCGAACCAAGGGGAGGTGGAATGAACAATGCATAGATCTTGTGAGGACGAGGTCGGACAATCACGCACGAGGGAGGGGAGGTCCAGTTATCATGACGAAGACAGACTCCCCTTTAATAGTAGTGATACGGCGATGACGTTGGGCAAGTCGTGCACACTAGTTGACAGGAGTTTTCGAGGAAGAGGGAGAAAGAAAGAGAGGGTGACCAATCAAAATATCTAGGATGAAAGAAAGGAACGACTAACCGGCATAGAACAACCCCACGAACAATAGCTGCCACAACAGCAAAAAATTACATACCAGTTCTCCTCCTTTAAGCAAACAGCTAAAAAGCCTTTGCCTTGGCGTCTATTACATTTTCGTTTTACTACTTGCACCTGCATTCGGCTTCTTATATTCAGAGTACCACTGTTGAAGCAATACTTTTGAAAACTATCTTCGCCGCCGAGGACGACGAGACGATCCTCTTGTCCCTAAGTTGCTTGGCTATGGCCTCTTGCTCATCTTTGCTCCTTGGAAACATACCTCCTACAGGAGTAGGTAGTGCACCCATTGCCTTACACTTCTTGCATGGCTCTTCATTTTCCTTCAAAAGAACAGTCTCCAGCTTTGGAGCTCGACCCATCACCTCACGCACAAATAACATATGATGCCCCACCAATGGACTAAAGCTGGCAACGTGGAGCTCTCTCAGCTGCCACTTGCTACAGCTTGTGAATCCAGGCGTCTTCCATGAGGGCTGCACTCTTTGAACGCCAACGCGTGCCCAAAATGGCACGGAACATGGATGTTCAAACGCCTGCAGTATCCAATAACCAAGGCCTAATTATTAGTATTACATAAATAAAAGTATAGTCGGAGATATGCTTATATAGTTATATCCAACTTCTATCACGAA